CGCCCCCTTTTTTTTTTTTTTTTTTTTTTTTTTTTTTTTTGGTACCGGGGATCCAACTCGGAACCTTGCGCTTGCCAGGCAGACAATGGAACCACTGAGCTACATCCCCAGCCCTCCTACGCCTTGTCTGAGTCATTTCCAAGGCCCCAGCTCTATGCCACCGGGCTCAGACCTGGCCTAGGTGAGGCTGGGGCTGGCACCTAGAAGCCCCTGTGCCTTCCAGCTACCTGGTGATGCCCTTCATGCAGACGGACCTGCAGAAGATCATGGGTATGGAGTTCAGCGAGGACAAGATCCAGTACCTGGTGTACCAGATGTTCAAGGGTCTCAAGGTGCACGGGGGCTTGGAGGGGGCCCCGGAGATCTGGGGGAGCCGGCAGGGCTTCACCCGGGGTTCCGGGGTGCTGCACTCACCCCTCTTCTTCCCCCCCAGTACATCCACTCCGCCGGCGTCATCCACAGGGTGAGTCCTTTCTCACTCAGGTCCTCGGGCCCCTGACTGACTTCTGGGGAGCCAGGTTCTCTGCAGTCAGGAAAGTGGAAAAGGTGGAAAGGGACAGCTCCCGGGAACACGGAATGTCGATTTTTCAGACCCGGCCTGGCCCAGGAAGGCCTGTGTGGGAGAACCATTGTCCTGGGAAGTTGGGTGGGAAGGTGCTGTAGACAAGGGAGCCCTGAGCTCGGGGCTCCACTACGAGAATCGGGCACTGCAGAGCTGGACAGGCCCCAGCGCAGCCTTTCCTGGGGGTGCGACCAGGGCCTTCCCCTATCGGCGTCTCACCCCCAATCCCCATACCATTTTACTTGAGATAAGGTCTTGCTACAGTGGCCGAGCAGCTGGCCCTGAACCTGTGATCCTCCTGCCTCAGCCTCCCGAGTAGCTGGGATTACAGGCGTGCACCACCACACTCGGTTTCACTCCTTATTTTATATATGAGGAAACAGGCCTCGAGAGGGGAAGGGGCCCGGGAGCCAGGGCATCTCCCGGCTCCACCTCAGCCTCGGGCTCCTCTCTGTCCCCCCTCCCAGGACCTGAAGCCGGGCAACCTGGCCGTGAACGAGGACTGCGAGCTGAAGGTGAGTGGCCACGTGTGGCCCAGCAGCGGGGGTGGAACTGGGGGAGGGAGTGGGGATCTGGTGGGAGCCCCGGAGCTGCTCGGGCCTCCCGGCCTCAGCCAGCACCGTCTCCCGCGTCCCTTGAGCCGTAGATCCTGGATTTCGGGCTGGCGCGGCACGCGGATCCTGAAATGACCGGCTACGTGGTGACACGCTGGTATCGGGCGCCCGAGGTCATCCTCAGCTGGATGCACTACAACCAGACGGGTGAGCGAGGAGGGCAGCCGGGTGGGGCAACGGGCGGTGGCTCAGGCGGCAGTGACGAGCCCGGCTCCCCGCAGTGGACGTCTGGTCCGTGGGCTGCATCATGGCGGAGATGCTGACCGGGAAAACGCTGTTCAAGGGGAAAGACTGTATCCTTTTCCGGAGACGCCAGGCTCCATCTGAGGACCCCCACACTTTATTTACATACTTTTCCTTCAAGCAGCAGGGATAATGCTCTCTTTTTTTTGAGACAGGATCTCACGACGTAGCCCGGGCTGGCCTCTAATTCATGGTGATCCTCCCGCCTCAGCCTCCCAAGTGCTTGGATCACAGGCGTGTGCCACCATGTCTGGCTCAGTGATACATGCTTCTTGTAAAGTAATTTTAAAATGCGGATAAACAAGATGATGAAATGAGCCCCCAGGTCTAGGGACATAGCTCGGATGTAGAAGACTTGCTCAGGCTATGTGAGGCCCTGGGTTCGAACCCCAATACCAGGAAAAAAAGAAAAAACAGAAAAGAGCCCTTATAATTCCTCTGACTTCGGCCTTTGCACGCCAAGGAGGGAGCTGTGCACTGGCAGGTGTCGTCCAGCTCCGAGGTGAGGGTCGAGGGTGAGTGGCAGGAAAGCAGGCCAAGCCGGCGCAGGGGAGGGACCTGCGTCAGGCTGGGCCCTTCCTGCCCTGGCGCCCTGGAGCTCTGGGACTTGGCTGAGCCTTGTGTCTGGGGCTGGAGGTGGGGAGCAGTCTGGGGCCTGGGCCGGTGTTGGGGCTGCAGGAGGGGACTGCGAGGCTGAGCCTTAACCCGCCGCCCAGACCTGGACCAGCTGACCCAGATCCTCAAGGTGACCGGGGTCCCGGGTGCCGACTTTGTGCAGAAGCTGAACGACAAAGCGGTGGGTGGCTGAGGGCAGGCTGACCGGGCAGGGGTAGCTGGGGTTCGCTGCGGCCTCCCGCCCTGTGCCCTGAGCCCTGAGAGGCCTGCTGCTCGCCCCTCTTCCAGGCCAAAGCCTACATCCAGTCCCTGCCACAGAGCCCCAAGAAGGACTTCACTCAGCTCTTCCCACGCGCCAGCCCCCAGGGTGAGTCTGGCCTGCTCCCGGGGTCCTGGGCCCAACCGAGCACTCACAACTGTGTCACCGCAGCCACAGACCTCCTGGAGAAGATCCTGGAGCTGGACGTGGACAAGCGCCTGACTGCCGCACAGGCCCTCGCCCACCCCTTCTTCGAGGCCTTCCGGGACCCCGAGGAGGAGACCGAGGCGCAGCAGCCCTTCAGTGACCCCCTGGAGCACGAGCGGCTCACGGTGGACCAGTGGAAGCGTAAGGGTCGCGCGCAGCCGCGGCCTCCCTCCGTGGCTCTGTGGCATAACTGTGTCCCTCTCCTTCGGCTTCCTCCCGCTCTGCCGCTGCCAGCCCCATCGCTGGGAGACACCTGTCCCCTCTCTAGCTGGTCCTACTTGCCGGGTGCTTCTTTGCTCTCTCTGCCCGCTGGTGCGAGGGTGAGGGGCCTCCTGCGCCCGGCGCCCCTTCCTTTCCCTCCTTGAAGCCCCGGCCTTCCGCAGAGCACATCTACAAGGAGATCGGGGACTTCAGCCCCGTCGCCCGCAGGGACTTGCGGCGCCCAAGCGGCCTAAAGCTGCAGTGACACCTGCGGGCCGGACGCCCACCTCAGCCCCACACGCTGCCCCGGGCCTCTGTCACCACCAGAGAACACCCCAGGCAGTGGACAGGTGCCTGCCCTGGGCCTGGCTGCTGCGGAATTCGGGGAGGAAGAGCCCGGATCGCACCAGACTGCGTTAGGAGGCCGCCTGCCCTGCCCGGCGTCCGGAGCGCAGGGCCTTTCCTTCCCCAACAGTGGCAGTGGATCAGCTTCTCGGGGCTGCACACGCGGTTCTGAAGTCCAGCGCGAGGCGTTGTTGGTCGAGCTGTGCTCCCTCCGAAAGCCCTGGAAGAGAGCCCTTCTCCCTTCTTTTAGCTCCTCGTGGCTCTGGACAAGCCTTGGCATTGCCTGGCTGTAGCTGCCACTCTGGCCTCTGCACGTGTGTTCACCCTGTTCCCTCTTCTTTTTGGTTCCTGGGATCGAACTCAGGACCTTGCGCTTGCAAGGCAGGCACAGCACCAGGGACCTCTCTTGGCCCTATTTTGATTTTTTGAGGCCCGATCTCCTTTGGTAGTTCAGGCTGGCCAGGAGCTCACGATGTGGCTCAGGCTGGCCTCAAACTCTCCGTAATCCTCCTGCCTCAGTTTCCCCAGTGCTGGGATCACAGGTGTGCGCCACCATGCCCGGCTGCCCTCTGTCTTGTAAGGATAGTTGTTATTGGCTTTAGGGCCCCCTGAGTGCAATATGATTTCATCTTGGTCCCAACTACTCACATCTGCAAAGACTACTTCCACATTAGGCACACTCTGAGGTTCAAGGGGATATGAATTTCGGAGAAACACTATTCAGCTCGCTAAAGATGGCCGTGGGGGACGTGTCCTCGTGCAGTGCTGGACCCCAAAGTACCCGGATGCTGCCCGAGCGTGGTGTGGAGAGAGCTGCAGCTACTGAGACAACTTGGGTGCAAGGATAAGCGATCACGAGAGCAAACAAAACGGAAACAAAGCTTTGTAAATAATGAGGGGAAGAGGAGTTGAAGGGAGAGGAGAATAGGAAAAAAATCGAGATATACCATGGACAGGTACATGTCCCTATGATGAATGTGATTATTATGTATACACCTAAAATGTACCAATAAACTTAATTTTAAAAACACACAGAGGAAGCAGCAGCCGGCCTGTGGGCTGGGAGCTCCAGAAGGCCGAAGAGGACTTTTTCCTGGCTTTGCAGCGCAACTCTGTCCCTTCCCTTCAGAGCTGGCCTGACTCTCCAGGGCTTAACCTGGGAGTGGCCAGGATCTTTGGGTTCAGAAGGGAACCTGCGTTGTACCCAGAACTTTGTTGAAATGCAGATTCCTGGCGGTCTCTAGGCCTGTCCCAGGTGACTCCGCAAGGTTAAGGGATTCTCCAACTGTCTAGACTGACCCAAGCCCCGTGTCACGTTTAGGGAACCGGCAGGCTGCTTTCAGCGCCACGTCCTGTGTCAGAAGAAACTTCCAGCGTGAGGGCCGGGGATTTAACCTAGCGGTTCAGCTGCCTGCCTTGCAAGCACAAGGACCTGAGTTCAAACCCTGGTACCACACCCCCACCCCACCCCACCACGTGAGCCAAGTGGGCTTCCTGTTTACAGATGTTAGAACTGAGGCTCAGCCAAGCATTTTTAGGGCGGTGTCAGGGTGGCGGCATGGCTCCGGGGGTGCGCCCTCAGGTGACCTGTGCTAGGTCTCAGGTGTGACGTGTGTGCGCCACCCCAAGGCAGGGTGGTGAGGGGTGTGGGGACCCCCTGCCCTCTGCAAGCTTACAACACTATAAAGAAAGTATTGGGAACCACAGACCCTGCACCCCAGAGACGGGTCCCCACACCCCCTCCCTGGAAGGCCCTGCACCCCACCCCCTCACCCTGCAGGACTCCGCCCAGCGCCCCCCCAGTTCAGGCAGCTCGCTCCCCAGGCCCTCTGTGGGCAGCATTTGTGGGGGTGCTTGGGCCACTACCGAGATGGCCCTGGCCTGTTGGTTATTTCTGTCCCCCCCACCTTGTGGCACTGCAGGCGCCTGGGTGTGACTGCTCAGCGGGAAGCAGAGATGGGTGGCCCCGGCCAGTCCCTGGGAGACCCCCCCCACCCCTTCACGGCACCCCTCATCTCAGGGTTCTAAACCCAGGAGGCTTCTCCAAGGGCGGCCCAGGGCCC